CCCCCCCCCCCCCCCCCCACCCAAAAAAAATAAAAAATAAAATTGGTAGTTCATAATTCTCCTAATGATTTCTTGGAGATGGATCCATGAGCTACCCCATTGGAACTTCAAGTTTTAAATGAAACTAACAAGTGACCAAAGAAGCTGGAGAGAGACGTAATACAAGATATTGAGTAGATATGTAGGTTTTTGGATATGCACCAGTGTATGGGGGCTTTTTATTTCAAGTGTGACAAGCTTGACTATGATTGAAGGATATTGAATCTTTCGATTAGTAGCTTGCATTGGGGGAATATGTTTATTCTCGGCTTATAGTGCTTGCAGGTTAACAATCCCAATCAAAGGTTCAATTTTTACATATTCTTGAAAAGATGCTTGTATCTTATATTCCTCTAGATCCAAAGATTCTTGATCCTAATGAACTTAAAAAATCGTTGGTGATCTCCAAATCAAACTCATCTTTTAAATCTTCATTTTTCAGAAACCCATTTTTTCCCCCTCCCAAATCTCAATGACAAAAAGCAGAAAATCAAAGAGTACAATTACTGCTTTAAGTTTCTTCATAGCTACAAATTGGAGCTGCTGAGGTCTTTTTACTGGAGCAGCTTTTCAGAGATTCTGAAGAAGCATTCAGGTGATGGTGGTGTGATGTATCATTTTAGTGTCTTAATTTGGTGTATGAGAAAACGAGGGATACTTTACTTTGAGGGAATCTTCGAGTTGTGGGACGAAGAAGAGCAAAAGATTAAGCTGCAGGCGTGGACGCGACAGTGGTGCCCGTGACTTTAGGGAAGAAGACGAAGTTTGGGGGTGGAAGAGGATGATGTTTTATTTTTATTTTGGTTTTTTAAATTTAATTTTGTACTTATTTAATGTGACTACGCGAGGAAAATACAAAGTTATCATTTTAACTTTTTTTACTTTGATCAAAATTAATCAAATATTGACTTTCTTGGTCAATTATCGACCAAATGGATGGATCCATTCATTTCGACCCAGTTGCTAATTTCTTAAAAGTTAGCATTGACACAAACTGAAAATTAGAATAAAATCTTCAAAAAAGTAAAAAGTTAGAAAACACTGCTACAATTTTCCTTGAAAAAATATTGTACTACATGTTACGTTTTTGTTAATTTGTCATGAACTTTTTTAATAATTCCATTACGAACTAACAAGTCAATGAACTGAGGTGAGTTTCATTTGATTGCCTCCAAGCTACTGAACAATGCCAGCTTAAAAGTTTTAATAAATTCAATATATATAAAATTGTCCATCGACATACATGAATAAAAGTACAGTTCGGATTCTAAGATCTTCTATCATAAACAAAAATGATACATTGAAAATCAAGACAATAGTTTAAATTACTTCTTAAACACAAGTAACACTATTATCCCCTCCAACCATCAAAGAAAATAGCAGAAGCCAATAGGAAATCAAATTCCCCCTTTTTTTTTTCAGAATAAATATGGTAGAATGACGATGAAGCGGCTGCCAATTGTAGCTCCGAACAGAGCAGACAGACTAAACCAAGTCCCATGGAGAACCAGACTCCGATAGTGAAAGGTCATCAAGGGATTTTTTTTCTTTTTCTTTTTTTTTTTTCGGAAAAAAAAAGAAGAAAAGAGCCCACCAAAATTCAATCAACAACATAATTTGGGGCTACAGCTAAAATCCTATCATCTCTGGATGAGGATCTCACGTTTTCAGCCTCCTCTGCTGCTTGTCTACCATCATCCACAACTATCAGATGGCCTTCCCTTCTTATCAAGCTCTGTATTATTGCCAAAAGTCAAGTTTTTATTTAATGCTGACATGTTATATTTAGACAAAAGATAAGAACTGCCACTAAATTGCTCAGTTAGGATTTTAACCTCAATAATGGCTTTCACATTTTTGACTTCGGCTGCTGCTTCTTCCATGGAGCTATAATTGTTTTTCTCGTTCTGCTGATTTACATACCATTGTATCAAATCCCTCTGTCTCATTCCAGCCAAGGCAGTTCCTACAAATATTTTATGCATGTGCACACCATTCATCAATCAAAGTAGTGCAATATTACCGGATAGGAGAGTAAAATGGGAGAATTCTATTTTCTTCTGGTTTGCTAAAATATAATGCAATGTATCATCTCGCTAAATGAATTACGCTAATGGTTTACCTTCATGAATTATAGTTTCTTCATGCTGCCTGAGTCGCATGATAAGCGCTTGAGTAACCCTCTGAAAATATTCATCACTGATTACAAGTTTCTTTCCTTGCCTGCTTCCAGCGTCTCCTAAACTTTCTGTACCAGGACGACATAATAAGACAACAAAATAAGCTTGCACTTTTAATGAAGCATTTAAAATGTATTGAGGTAAATTCCCCCAACCTCCAGTCTCAGAAGCTTGCTGAGTTGCTGCACTAGTTGAATTTTTCGCTTGACTAGAAACACTGTCTCCATTATCAGCCATGACATCATCACTACGCTGATACTCGTCTTGAAACTCTGATAGATCAATATCACTTGACTCCACACTGGAAATTAAAATTAAATAATAAAAATTATCATTTGACCTGAATAGAGGAAGGCAAGGGATTGTATTGTTAAAGAAACACACCTGATAATTGATGTCTTAAGCAATCTCACAGCAAGACGTACATAGCGTGGTTGCACCTATCAAAATTAAACCATTAGATGAGACAGAAAAAGTAATATCCAGATAATTTATACGCTAGAGCAAATGAGGCACCTCAGTATCTAAATGACTCCGTGCAACTGCCTCTGAAAGCCTGATTAGTGCCTCTAGTTGCCTCACTGTCATGCGATAAGCAACTCTACTACCAGGAGCCGTGTCACCTCTGCGAAGAGAAACATAAGATTCCACCAATAATTCCCTAGATTCTGGGCTCAGCTGCATACACCACATTCAGTCAAACAAAGGATGAACAAGTAATAACAATTACAAATACAGCATTTTGGGCAAAGCATGGAAAAAAAAAACCTTTGGTTTCAGAGTCTTTGCATATGACATGTATCGCTTCAATTGTGCAGTTGTAAATGCAGGAGCAAGTGCATCTTCATGCTTTTGATGAACTCTAACAATATGATGAGCAATGTGGTAATCCGTTTGATCGTCTGGATCATCAATCATTACATATACAAGATCAAACCTTGAAAGTATGGCGGGAGGGAGAGCCACATTGTACTGTAGAAACATAACAGAACTGTTGAGGAAAATTTGCTAACTTTTCCGTATTGAAACTTCACTTCTTATACCATCAATAAAATATCTCACCTTCAACGGTTTGGTCTTATCATAGCGTCCCCCAGTGGGATTCGCAGCAGCTAAAATTGATGTTCGAGCATTCAATGTTGCTTGTATTCCAGCTTTAGTTATGCTTATAGTCTGCTGCTCCATTGCTTCGTGGATGGCAACCTCAAAAGTTGGTAAAAAATAAAAGGTTAGTAACTACCACCATAAAAGTGCTACTTAGAGCCTGTTTGGTACAGATTCTCCTTTTCTATAGTAAATCAATTCTCATTTTCAACCACACATTTTTCAATAAAATAATATTTTACATCACATCAATACTTTTTTCTTCTTTTTTAACCACACATTTCCCATCAAATCACAGATNGATATAATTACCTGATCTCTGATGTCCATCTTGTCAAATTCATCAATACAACAGATGCCATTGTCAGCTAGCATTAATGCGCCAGCCTAAGAGCAATAAATATATACATATTAGGAGCAATACAAGTCAATGTTAATAGAACAGAAGGCACAACAACAAATTGTTTTGTTGAATTAGAAAAAGACTGAATTCTAATAATGAAGAACATGTTAAAATAGAATTGTCAATCTGCAAAAATATATTTACAAGAAAGGAGCATGTATTTCTTCGTGCAATTCGTAGATTAGATAATGACGCCTGTTGCATTCAATTTTCTGTATGATGTGAATTGGACATGAAAAATCATAATATATTTTCAATAGTTTTGATGTGGAGAAGTAAATTAATATTTAGCTCTTGCACCTTATTTGTTGAAAAATAAAGCACCAACACATTCAATAGGTCAATGACCTTTCCCAACATTTTCATCTCACACGTCCGAAAACATCAACGAGATACAAACAAGCAGTTCCTAATCCAGGAAAAAGCAAAATAGAAAGAGAACAGCAAAATGCATACCTCAATACAAAATTCACCGGTTTCCGGTTCTTTGGCCACTGTTGCAGTTAGCCCAGCTGCGGATGAAGATTTCCCTGATGTGTAGACGGACCTTGGAACTAGACCTGATGTATACCTGTAAGATGGATTGAACATTAGAAATTAGTATGTCAATAAAACATATTGTAAGGAGACTCAAGATAAAAGAGTGCCAATACTTGAGGAACTGAGACTTTGCACAGCTGGGGTCGCCCACAATACAGACATTGATATCACCCCTCAAATTGATTCCTTCATGGGTAAATTTATGGACTCCACCTAAAAGCATAAGCAGAATTGCTCGTTTGATATCTTGGTGACCAAAAATGGTTGGGGCTATGCTATCAACAATTTTGTTGAAGAAGTCAGGAGTATTCCTCATTTGTCGGATATCATCCAACTCTTCTGCCTGGCCAAACAAATCAAATGAAGCAAAATAAGGGCACAAGTTATTCAGGAAAGAGATATCTACTCGAACCATAAAATGGGAAGAAATACAAAAGTTTAATGCTATCTCACAGCTCTAAACTTCATGTTCTTTTACTGATTTTTGGAAATGTCTTAAAAGTTTTGAGCATTATATTAGAAAGCATTAAAACAAGTTTAAGTACTCGTTGCACCACCACATTATGATGAAATTTCACCCATGGTCGTATTGTTCATCAACACGAAAATGTCATGTAATGTGTACCGCAAAGGCACAGTTTAAGCTGTAGTGTAATGAATTATCAATGAATAAATTATTTTTCCTACTTTTGGGAAAGTGCCAAATGGATGTGAATAACTTATTCGAAAACACAAAATCGCATGTTGTTCTTGGAGAAAGAAAACAGGGTTCATTAAGAAACCAACCGTGAACTGCTGAAAATCATCATCATCAGAATCCCTCCTCTTCCTGATATCATTATATTTTCTACCATCACAAATCTACGAGGAGAAAAGGAAGCACATATATCAGTATAGGCATAAACATTTAAAAGTTGAAAATTGATCCTAGTTTCAACATAGGGATCACCGACCTGTATGGAATTGGCTATAAAGGCTAGGCGGTAGGAAAGGTCTCTCACACCCAATGCACGGAGACCTTTGACACCTTCTTGACCAGCAGAAGCATTCTTGCGCTGAGATGCTTCTCTTCGACACTCAGCTCTCTCCCCTGGGGAAGCCAATGCTAAAATGTCGGGAATCACCACCACGGTACCAGTGAATACAACCCTGTGAGAGAATGACAATACAGAGTATAAACATTTCAGATTACAACAAACTTAAACAGACGGATCACAGTTATATATGTAAATGAATGATGCTTACGTGTCACCTGCCCTGGCTTGTTCAACAATATCATGGCGTAGAATGACGTCAAGTGATCTAGGAAGGGAGCCTGCAGGTATCTCCTGGGATGTCTCCTGCATTCGAACCCTCTGCCAATCGGAAAATTTGCTATCTTGCCTTAACAATGCCCATTGTGTTCTGTTTTGGCATGCTGCATTCATGCAGATAATAGGCTGCAAGCGAAGATCAGATGCACCACGGCATGAATTAAAAACTGTCCACTGCAAACCTTAGGCTCCTTTTATTTTGGGATTGCATACAGGAAAAGGAAATGGAATGAAAGGAAAGGAAACGCATGTATATGATGTAAATTATCTAACTTGATCATGTTTGTACACAGGAAGAAAGACAGTTTTCCACAGTATCTTATTAGCTGAAATCCAAGTCAGAACAGAGCCTTGGAGAAAATGTCTTCCCTCTCACGTCCATTCATTTTACTCCATTATTTAAAAATCCACAGGATACTATGCCATATAGCTTAGAAGTTAAAACTTAAATTCTCATCATTTTGGTTAACTCGTTTTTTCTTTCTAAGGGCTGCAGTACAGAGGAAATTGGCTTCATATTTGAACGAAAACAATTCAGGAGGATGCGCAAGTGAGCGTTTTATACATGAGAAAAGAGATGATATGAACCTCAGTGTACTTGAATTGCTGTTCGACATTCTTAATAACATTTCCGCATTCCAAACACTTGAAAGTGCCCTGAAGAAGTTCCGGGCGAACTTCACTGGTGCGAGTGACCACTCCACTCACAGAAACCAGCTTCCCAATCTCAACCGTAGTCAACTCCCTCAATCTGAAAAAATCGCCCGAACAATAATGAATCGAGAGAAAAAGAAGAGAAGAAATTGCGAGTCAATAATGAATGATCAGTTACCGCTTAACCAACGGAAGATTATAGAAGGCAACATTGATATCTTTGTTAGGATTATCATCAGTAATGAAGGTGGGCTTGAGCTCCAGGACAAATCTCTTGCAAGCATTCTTCAAATAAGGTTCGAATCGATGGAATTCATCGGAGATGGCCTTCTGGAGGACGTCATTGAAGCGCATGACATGGGAGAAATCTATGAACATTGTATTGGACTCGTTGGGCCTCATCGCTTCCACCTCCGCCTCATAGTAAGGCTCGTGCCTCCCAGATCCCACCTCGGCCACTCTAAAAGTCTTCAAGAACTCCAGGAAGATATTCTCAACCCGTACAGCTTTCTCGTCTACAAAGTACCCGCCACCGCCATAACTATCCATTTCTCAGATACTTTTTCTTCCACTTACAACCACCGAATACAGAATGAGAGAGGATTCGGGAACAGAAATTGGATTGGGGGAAAGTAGGGTTTGCAAATCTGGCGGGAAAATAGATGGGATTTCCCGCCAGTACTGAACCCTCCACTGATTTCTTTCGGCCCTCCATCTTTTAAGAAATATCGTATTTGGGTCTCTATTTATTTTTTTCAGGCATTTAAGTCACTAACTATTAAAATTTGGATAACAATTCATTTATTGAGACAATTGAAGTCCCCAGCTATTTGGAAACTATTGATATTTGGGTCCCTATATTCCACTTCTTTTCATTTGCTTTTTCTTTGGCTTATTTTCACAAATGGTCCTCAACCTATGGACACTGTGTGAAACCAGGATCTATCCTTTTAATCCTAGCACTAAACGTCCTCATATAGACCTTTTAGTGTGCAAACCATCCTTTCCATTACAATTCATTAATTGACTTATTAAAAATCAAATTTTCAATTGAAAACCTCCTATGCCCTTATTTTTAGTGAAACAAAATAGAAAAAGAAATTGAAATTTGACAAAAGGACGATCGATTTACACACCAAAAGGTTCGTGTTTCCACGTAGCGCCCATAGGTCAGTGAACTATTTCCCTACTATCTTAAAAGAGTTAATCCACCGTTCGCCGTTCATTTTTCAAACTTTTTTCCCAATCCCATTTCTACCATATCCCTACTATCTTAGTTAACTATCTGTTTACTATTCATTTCTGTATCTTCCCTACTTCTATCCTCTACATATAAATATATATAATATACATACTATTCATTTAATTATTGAGGGTAATTTGGACTTCTGCCTACCTATACCCACAATTGTTAACTTTACAATCCACTTTACAGCCCCATATGCTCTTGAAGGATGCTAAAAGGCAAATGGTAACTTCTTTTACACGCTTTGCCCACAACATCGATTCCAACTTCGTTACATCAATTCTTTACCGACTGCCAGAATATTTTGTACAAAAAAAAAAACCCTTCGTTGAGCTCAGAAACATAATTGAAACTGCAAAAGAATACATATCTCTTTGTAACCGTTAGTACAAAATTAAGAGATACGTTACAGTTTGCAACTTCTCCCACACTTTCTCTGCTTCAGCCAGCAACAACTATTTCATCTTCCGATCTTCGAATTCCCCACTGCAAGCATAAGAATGCTGTGAGGATTTTCACATCTGTGTTGCACTTAGGAAATCTATTTAAATCCAAAATGGGCCATTTGGGTTGTAATAGCTGGTAGAAAACTGCGAGATAAATTACATTTTACTGATGATTTGAGCTTGTATGAAAGTGCTCGAGTAGACATCACGAGGTATGTATATTCCATATTCCCAAAAAAACATTCAAAGGAAATTTCGTTTAAACCATATAACTTGCTTGTCAGATTCATTTATTTCTATTAGTTTTCGACATATGCAAATAGGTTAAATAGATTAATATATTTCATAGGAAATCTTATTTCCACTTATAAACTGAGTTATATGTGCTAATAGCCTTCTTTAATTTCTGTTTGTTGCTTTCAGCCTCAACTATTCCATAACTTAGCATATTGTTGTCATGGATGTTTCGAATAGATGTTCCGACAGAGTAACTGATCCTTTAAATTTCGAAACAATGTCATATCGTCGACAACATGAATAGATGTTCCGACAGAGTTACTATTCCTTTAAACTTCGAAACAATGTCATATTGCCGACAACAAACCTAAAGGCAAAGAGAGCAGCAAAAACGGCTTCGTACTGGATGCACTGATCATCGTAAAAGAATAGCTCATCCTATGTGACTTGGACATAATAATTCTGATACTGATCTTATGTCATCCGTACATAATAATTCCAATCCTATGCGAATGCAGTATCCTACAATGAATCGTGATTTCCAAGATCTTGAGGCTTCTACTTCAAACGAAGATTCTCCTAATATTTGTATATCTACATTCGAAAGTGGTTTTAATATATTAAATACACCGACCACTTCATATGTATTACCTACATGGGATAGTTGTAAACACTATAGTGCAAGAAAATTTTACAGGGAAAGCAAAGGTTTTTGTTAGGGCTGTAAGCAAAAATCGTCAAACCGGAAAATCGAACCGAAACCGCAATTTCGAAACCGGCGGTTTGGTGCCACGTGGAGTCGTCAACGAAATGGTTTTGAACCGAACCAAACCGGTCAAAAATGGTTTGGTTTAGGTTTGAGAATTTTAATTATGGTTTGAAACCTAACCGGACCGGCGAAAAATATATAAAATAAAAAAATAAAAAATTGATTTTTTTTGAAAATTTATCCAAAATTTCAATTTTGTAAAATTGAATAATTTTGTCATTTTGTAGGTGAATAGATGTTCCGACAGAGTTACTGTTCCTTTAAATTTCGAAACAATGTCATATCGTCGACAACAAACCTAAAGGCAAAGAGAGCAGCAAAAAGGGCTTTGTACTGGATGCACTGATCATCGTAAAAGAATAGCTCATCCTATGTGACTTGGACATAATAATTCTGATACTGATCTTATGTCATCCGTACATAATAATTTCAATCCTATGCGAATGCAGTATCCTACAATGAATCATGATTTCCAAGATCTTGAGGCTTCTACTTCAAACGAAGATTCTTCTAATATTTGTATATCTACATTCGACAGTGGTTTTAATATATTAAATACACCGACCACTTCATATGTATTACCTACATGGGATAGTTGTAAACACTATAGTGCAAGAAAATTTTACAGGGAAAGCAAAGGTTTTTGTTGCTTTGATGGAAAAGTTTATCTTTGTATGCCTGATTCACTTGCTGAACTATACAACTTATTTACGTCCAAAAAATCAAAAAACATGGAATTTAAGAAGCTTGCAAAAGGATATAATAACCATTTTACTTTCACTTCATTTGACATTAAATACGACAAAATTCTCTTCAAATCATACAAATATATTTACACATTTAGGGTTCAAGGGCAAATATACAATTATATAAATAAACTTATCTCACAAGACAATAAACCTCCTTATACGCAGTTATATTTTTATGACACATACAATGAACTTAAAAACCATATCGAAATTTCAAAAAACTTTGTTCAACATACTTTGATTGTTTTAATTGAAATTTTGAAGGTAAATCCATATAGTAGATTTTTCAGGTTTTTAACTAATATGCCTAACTTGCAATTCAGGACTGATCAATGCATCTTTAACACTCGTAAAATATCTCAAGTAGTTGTTGTATGGGTCGAAGACAATGAGAATACTAATGTTCGTGTCCATGATATTATTATATATGGTCATTCTGATGATACAAATAGAGTTCATTATTATTACGATTGTTATGATCCTTTGCAGTATCCATTACTTTTCCCACACGGGAAATTTGGTTGGCATGAAGGCATTAGGAGATCGATGACGACCTATGGTCAACCTACTTCTCAATTTGTTGCTTTACCTTCAACAGTTACTTCTACAATTGAATTTATTGAACACGAGAATAAATGTTTGAAAATACATTTGTTCTACATTTCGCTTATTTGTACCATGCACATGTTATAAATGAATGATCAGTTTGTTTTTGGCAGTGCTTCTTGGAACGAATCACCGATTTTAGGTTTCTTGCTGAGAATATTATTCATACAAATTACAAATGCGGCCTTCCAGTAAGTCTACTTTGCTTCACAGTGGTAGATTGCTATAACAATATATTGTAAATATGTATGTTAAGATTGAAACTGTAAGGTTAGACTATTTCGTAATAACCAAAAACAAATTCGAGCGAATTTTTACCAAGGTATTGCAGATAGCGTTCAACATGGAAAGACGAGAGGTTACAACATTAGATAAAAATTTATTTTGCCACAATCTTTTACATGTAACCCTAGAAATATACTAAAGAGATATATGGATGCAATGACTATTGTNATCAAGGTATTGCAGATAGCGTTCAACATGGAGAGACAAGAGGTTACAACATTAGAAAAAAATTTATTTTGCCACAATCTTTTACATGTAACCCTAGAAATATACTAAAGAGATATATGGATGCAATGACTATTGTGCAGTGTTATGGAAAATCAGATATATTTTTGGCTATCACATGTAATCCAAATTGATTAGAAATTAGGCAAGAACTAAAATACAATGACGAGATTCAATATCGCCCAAATTTAATTGCACGTATATTTAGAGCAAAACTAGAAGAATTGAAAAATATGATTTATGCAAAAAAATATATATTTTAGGGAATGTCATTGCACATATATATGTTATCGAATTTAAAAAAATAGGTCTTCCTCATGCACACTTCCTATTGATTTTCAAATGCGGCCACAAAATTTGTTCTGCGGTAGAAGTTAATAAAATAGTTTGTTGTGAGATTCCTGACCAAAACAAATATCCTTATCTTTACTTCGTTATTGTCAAACATAATATGCATGGCCCTTGTGGGGATTTAAATCCCAAAAACGTATGCATGGACTCTAATAAAAAATGCAACAATAAATTTCCTAGAGATTATTGTAATGATACTATATTTGGTGACGACTCATATCCTTTCTATAAACGTCGCAATGATGGTATCAATATTAAAGTTAGTGGTCATATGTTGGACAACCGATGGTCGTACCGTATAATCGTTATTTGAGTGCAAAATTTCATTGTCACTTAAATGTTGAAGTATGTTCTTCTATTCAATTTGTAAAATATTTGTACAAATATGTGTACAAAGGCCATGATCGTATTAATTTCTCAATTGCACCATTTAAAAAATTAAAGAAATAGATAAAATTTATGTTTATCAATCTGCTAGATGGATATCTCTACTTAAAGTAATGTGGAGGATTTTCTCGTTCAATTTAGTAGAAATTCATCCAATTGTTTATTCTTTACAACTTCATCTTCTAAATCATCAACAAGTGCGCTATGACGACAAAGATGATTTAACTTCTATTATTGAGAATGAAAAT